TATGACATACTAGTGTTGCATTTCATTGGCCTCCCGCCTTGAACATAAGCTAACATAATGCGTTTCGATTTCTCGTTGAATAATCGGGCGCTTTACTTGTAACGCTAGCAGTTTGGTTTACAGTCTTTTTACGCGCATCTCATCTCACTCAATTTGCTTCGCTGTGATAACTACATCAGAAGCCTAGGATTGAAAATCTTTTTCCCTCATAAGAATTATAAAGCTCAAAAATGCTGTATATTAAATCGTACAGAAACAAGAGGTAACTTCACAAATCATATAGTTACCGTTGTTGCATCAGCTATAAAGCAAGTCAGTTATCGGCCATTCAATTTCAGGTCGATGTCGTTTGTCGTGGAAATGTAAACTTCGTGTCTCCATTCGTCTTTTCAACGTGAATTAAGTTTCTGTATTAGTCTCATTCGACGGCCCGGCAAGCCTTTGCTCAGAATTTTCACGATATATTATGCGGTCTGTCTTGTTGAGTGTTGGTTTCGCTTGTGCGCTCATAGATTTCTTCCGCTAAACATCGGCTATTTCGTTTGTTCTAACAATCTGTTTAGGTCTATCCAAGCTGCTGTCAATCATTATTTAGCTTTTAGCCTCATTATAACGTAAGTCTTCCAGCTCTTTAGTAAACTAGAAATAAGGAAAAGCAAACAATCCCATGACTACGTGTCGTCGTCATCGACTCGTGTCAGTTTTGTCATTTTCTGTACACTACTGTGGTGTTTAGTGAAGCGAGTAATGTCCTTTGCTACTCGGAACTAAATTTTCCGTTTTATCGTTTCTTGATACAACATTAAAGCGCGGCCGACATGCGTTACCATCTAACTGGTGCGTGCTTCTCAATGTGACTTCGGAAACTTCTCTGAAATCCTACAATAGTGTAGTTTTGATCGATGAAATATCCACATATACAGCTTGGAGATGGCAGCAGAATATTTACTTCATCTCGTGATGAGTTTGAAAGGTGTTTCTTGGACGAATGCTTTTCTTACAGGTCGTCAAAGAGGAAATAATTCGTCAGTTTACCAGTGCCGACTTTTAAATCAGCACCGCCTTTGGTCAGTTTGATGGTCTGTTGTGTAGGATCCCGTCTTCCTCATTAGAATATTTCATCATGTCAATTTTGTCAATTCACTCATGAAGCGCAATAAAAAGGGGTGTGACATAAATTCACAAACGTTATTGGCTGATTGCACAATGTGTAAAATATGTGGAGACTCTATCTTCAGCAAGAGAAATCAACGGCAACGACACTCGCGTACAAATCTCTTACACAGTGTGCGGTGTGATTTGTGCTTATTATATTCTGGACAAACGAACAGAATGTTTCCCTCTGACGAATTTTGGCAAAGTCCAATATTTGGTGCAGTGATCGGTGGAATAATTACAGTGGTTTTGTTGA